GGTTTCAAGTTTCAGTAACAAGTGTTCTTCATTTCTGCGATGTTCAACTCCAGAAAGAAATGAAATATATCGGTAACGTTTACTAGACGGTCTGTCATGGTAGGACTTGTTCGGGTCACCCTGAAACGCCAGAGATACTGCCCAGCCTTAGATGATAATTCTCACTTAACACCAACCATGAACACTCTATGGGATAACCATCAACAAACCGGATGTTCAGTGGCGTCAGAGATTCTTCAGAAATTTCAGAAATTATCGACAAAAGATAACTTTACTCATGCAAGGCTCCCGATCACTCACAGACGACAGTTCTCATATAGATCCCACTGCGACTCTATAACTTCATTTTAAAATAATAAATGTCCAAATATATATTTCAGTTATTGATAATTGTGGTGTCTAATAAGTGTTTTTATAGTGTTTCTAATGGTGATTGTGTTACTATAATGATATGTGCAGGAGAACCGCACATTATGCAAAAAACAAAAAGCCGACAAGACAAACGAGCGGACAAGACAAATGTGCGGACAAAACAAACTACACAGACATTGCAAGAAATAAACAACAAATATCAAATGAAGTGAATGGATCAGGGGGCCAGCCGTTAGCATCCACTGCAAGGTACGGTCCTGGGGATATAATACAGGCTTCACTCAAAATGAAAAATAAATATGATTTACAAAAAAGACGTAAAATAAATAATACGACCGATCATGACAGTGGTCATCTCAATGAAATAGGGGCTATAATCCGAATGGAATGTACAACTCTGTGGACCTATTTAATTACCCGCAAAGCACAGTTATTAGGGTATGTTTGATATATATCGTTATTTTTATCTGTATAATATGCATTGCAGAAGTTTCCATTGTTCTTTACAACCTTCGATAAACTTCTAATAAGTTCTATATGGCAATTCTTCGAATTTTCAACTGTAAACGTATCCGCATCCGTATCCGCACCCGCATCCGTATCCGCGTTTTGCCGTTCAATTTACTTCAAACAGAAAACGCGAAAACGTCCGGCTTTCAAGGCTGAATTGTCTGTCTCTTATCTAATGACATTCAATTACTTTATTGAATTGTCAGGTATCCTCTTACAGTCCCATATAACAACTTTTGGTCTTCGAAGGAATTATTAGTGAGTAGAAATTCGGCCGTGTATCTGTTATCACTCGTCGCTTCAGTCAGTTATATAGAGCGGCGACTCATCTTTTCCTTTGGCGTTCGTCACTTCCGATACGGGAAACCTGTATTACTCAGCTATCGTAGCAATGATCTCTGTGTTAAAAATATATTTGGAATGTGTTTAACCAGCTCTTACGCATATGTGATAATGACTGGCACCAATATTGTCCTTTAACGGACGCAGTTGTTTTTGTGCGCAATACGTGCCGGATTCTATTTGAACCCTTTCTCTAAAAATGACTAAAGTATACCAGTACGTATTCACGCACGTATTTACAGATACGGATACGGATGATGTATGAACGGACCTTTACTGTATACCTACGAATACAAAAAAGCGAGTCTATATACAAAACATGTCAATCAATGTAGCTGCCATCTTAGATTTCCGCAATTTTGTATTTTCAAATCATAACGTTCATATCCTAAATGTACTCAGCGTCCCCCAAGACTTCCAAATCAGAATAGATAGAGTGAATAGTAATAAGACATTCGGTGAAATCACTACTTGTTTCCCCTTATTGTACCACCCTAAATTCACGGTGTATGTACAGGGAGGGGGTGGGGCAGAAAACGGGCTGGGTAACAATAACTTTTGAGGCGGGTCCCGATAAAATACATATAAGTATATGCTATTGGACTACCACGGCAGACAATTTCCACATTCGCTTGTAAACTGGAATGGTGACGGTGGTGAGATCAGCTTATTGTTTTAAACTTGCCTAGAGTTGGCGTATAAAAGGGAGATAACCTCATACTACAGTGTCGACGAATTTCAGATTTTTACAAATATTCCATCCAGGCTAATCAAGACGGGTATACGCCGTGCTATGGGGGACATTTTGAGGAGGGGGGGGGGTTGTATAATCTATGCCTGCTCCCTGGTCCTTTTACATTCCTTTGAAATAAAACATTGTTTACACAAAACATAAGCAAGGGCGCCATCAAACGTGATCTGTTAAACAGATTATTTAATACAGGTATACTGTATACCACCACCACACACACACACACACACACACACACCCTTTTTATTGTCTTATTTTAAATCACTTCTCTAATAAAAACTTTTCTCCGAAATAACACTGTTTACGATATTAACTTCATCAATTTAGCTGTCAATTTTCTATAAACTTTAATGGCATATTCTACATTTTATTTATCCTTATTTGGGGTTCTCGTAATTCTATGCTTACCCAACAACTAATCTGGACTGTCGGAACACTGTTATTTTTGTGTTTGCGGGATTTAAAGTACGATTCAAAAACGGCGCCGGGTGTGGACCGATCATTTCGAAAATTAAAATTTAACTACTGAGCTTTTATATACTAACTTTGCTTAACATGTTGGAACACATAAATATGCTACTGATTTGTCAATATATACTCAGCCAAATTAAAAATTTGACACTCGGGATTTTTGGGACTAGATTTTTAATATTTGGTTTAAGGCAACTGTTTTAGTGTTATGTTGTGCACAGACGACCTTGGCATCAACAGAAAGCAAGAATACGTCTCGCCAAAGTCCTTGACATTGATAACGTTCATGATGTCACAGTACCCCCAAAGTGAAATTCACAGACTTGGACAACAATCTGAATAAAGTGTTTAGTAACGGTTGTGGCCTCCTCTAGCGTCTCGTACTGCCACACAACGTCTTCTCGTGTATCTCAGAACATTAGTAAACACTACCCGAGGAAGACGTCGCCACTGCTCAGCAAGAGCATGTTGAAGGTTCTGCAACGTCAGTGGTGGATTCACTTGCTGACGAACACGTCGACCCAGTTCGTCCCAGATGTGTTCAATAGGATTAAGGTCGGGGCTAAGCGACAGCCAATCCAGGACTTGGACACCGGCATTTCTTAAAACAATTCTGGGTAGCAATTGCTGTATGGGGTCGAGCATTGTCTTGTTGAAACGTTAGTCCAGGCCCATGTCTCTGCATAAACGGAAGAAGAACAGGTTGCAAAATCTGATCCCTGTACTGGACAGCATTTAAGTTCCCTTGGAAAACAAGAGGAGAACGTCCATGTGCACAAAAAGAACCCCAAACCATGACGCTGCCGCCATCAAATCGGTCAACTTCTCTGACGCATACTTGAGCGTAACGTTCACCTCGTCTGCGGTACACTCGGACCCTGCCATCGGAAAATCTCAAAGTGAATCGAGATTCGTCACTAAAGACAACCGAATTCCACTGTCTTTGAGTAAATCTTATGTGTCTTGTGGCCCACACAAGTCGGTTACGGCGATGAAGAGGTGTCAATATTGGTCCATTATAGGGCCTCCGAGCTCGAAGACCAGCAGCCTGCAAGCGATTTCGAACAGTTTGTGCAGTTACCCTTCCACCAAACATCTCTCTACTTGTGGAGGTTGCAGTGACAAATCTGTTTCTAAGATGACGTAATCGTATTGCTTGATCTTCCTGGAGTGACGTCACACGTGGCGCTCCCGCCCTTGGGCGGTCTGCAATAGTTCCAGTTTGACGCACTCTCATTCTAAGATTAATTATTGTCTGGCGTGAACAATTAAAGGCTCTTGCAACAGTGACCACAGACTGACCAGCATAGAGCCTACCTATAGCAAGTAGACGTTCTACATTTGAAAGGCGCGGCATTTTCTAACAAAGATGAAAATAACAATTTTAATTTGTTTTTCCAGTTCAAGTTACGTGCGCGTGTTCAGTTTAAGCAAACTTGCATCGATTGACCTCACGAGTTTGTGTTTGTACGTGTTTTTCAGGTTTTTCATCTTTATATGCTCAAAAGTCACGTACGTGACTTTACAATTTTATGAAATTAAAGGCTTCTTACTACTTACTATTGTTAGAAACACTTTAAAATTTATTTGACTTACCAGAAAAAAAAATTGTTGAAATTCATCAGTGTCAAGTTTTTAATTTGGCTGAGTATATTATTTTGTATAAAATATTATAAAATCTCAAAAGGAACAATCAACATGTCCTTTATTATATAAAAACGTCGAAAGTATATTTGTATATATCAAGATTCAAAGAGCTAGGAATTTTTTTATTTGGCTATATGTCGGCTCGGGGTTCTTTCTATTCTTAAATCTCTTTGCAGGGAATGATAGGTGTTACCACATATCGGTAAGAAATCAAAACTGTGCCGCGGACAATATTGTGTCAACATATGAAACGGGAATAAAAATATCACAAACAACAAATTGCACTTTTTTTTAGTCCACTTTGCTATGCTTTTTTCTATGAAAAATCGCAAGAAATGGTCCCAAATATTTTGTCAATTAACTTTTTACTTGTTTGTCATTATATTATATAAAATGATATAAATTGTATATCAAGCTTCAAAGAGCTAGAATAATTTTTTTTGGGGCTGGTAACGCTCAGGGTTCCTTCTTTCCTTATATCTTTGTCGGGAATGTCGTCAATAAGAATATCAAAAACATTTTAGATGTAACAAATTGCGTGTTTAGTTCACTGTGGGTTTATTCTGGTAAATAAGAAAACGGTCCAAAATCATTTTGCTTCGTTTGCTCCCACCCTCTTTCAAAATTCCCGTATCCGCCCCTGGTATAGTCGTCCGGGTGGGACGAAAAACCGAAGTCCCGTGTACACATTGGCGTACATGTAAAAGAACCATTGGCTGTTGGAATTCGAAATAAGAGTAGGCCGTAGCGCCGTTGTACGGGTAAAATTTCCCTTATAGAACACTGCGTGACGTATGTCCGTCTTCAATTCATTAGAACAGTCGGTGCAGAATAGTGGGACGTTAGACCCCATTTCATTTCACTTGGGCTGTTTTCAATTTATCTTAAATATGCAACAAAGAAGGACAACTGTGTTCACATTTTATTGAAATACAAAGTTAATATTTTTACAGATGGATCTATAGTTAATATAACTGGTTCTATATAACTAATTGCGTGTATCTTATTTGTTCTCTAGGCTTATCAGGGGCACCTTTCACGACGACAAGGGACAGAGTAATTTGCTCTTAGGACAAATTGGTAACAACAGTTTTCTAGTCTTTTCTGAATACACCCTTCTGGTGTGTAAGCTTTCCCTGCGTTATATCCAATTCTGTAAAAAAAAAACATGACATAAGTTAAAAAAATAAAACAGGGGATACCTTTCTAAATATACAGTAGGCCTATTACTCCCTTAACACACATAGCCCACTTATTTTTCTTGTACACACAAATGTGTTTTAGTTGATTACCTGCAGCATATGTATTGTGAATCAACCCCAGGTCCGTTTTATTCATTGGTGAAACATATACCAGATGAATAAAATTGAACTCTTGTTTAGTTACGTACCGGTCACTTTGTTTACCTTTAATAAATTCTTAATGACCCCTAGGATTTCATTGCATCATAAAACGAACTATTACATCTCGTACTCGTAGTCCAATTAATAGACTACAAAATCATGTAGGATTTATTAAGAAGTGATCAAAAATAAAGTAATAAAAAGATATGCCACTTATACCCCAACCCTTTTTATTTCACTTTTTTAGAGTTGTGACAGTTTTGGGATATGGTTAATAGTGGAACCTTTTTTTAAAATTGATGCTTGTGTTATGACCACAGGGCTCCTGTCCACATGGCCCACTCTTTCGTAACTCACAAGGGTGTAAAATTACAGGTTAACTGGAACCAGAGAATTATATTTATGATATAAAACATGATAACAGTTCATCCCCATCTTTATGTATTGTTTAATGGTCGAGAGCGAGACATTAAGTAATATATTGTAACAACATGAGGGCCGTGAGGCCCGAATGTTTTTACAATATATTACGCAATGTCTTAAGCTCGAGACCATTAAACAACTTAAAATACAGACACTTGCACGTGCTTTGCAATGAAATACGTCAAGTTACGCTTGGTACATTGCCCGTACGATTATTTGAAATAATGGTACTCCAACATCAAAGTATGACGTCACATCTGTATTTTAATAGTTCGATGGAAGCGGACGTAAAATACAACTCACACACAGATACCGTAACAAAAAATGTAAACCAGGACTAAACTATGCAAGGCGTGCCGACTTGACATCGCTACACTTGGCATCCACCCAGCCATATACTGCACATCGCGATCTACTTTATTGCGGTGGTATGCACGTGTCTAACATGAAATGATTTTAAAATTTTCATGTAATTCCGCCCCTCTACTATAGTGAAATATCTCAAGACTGCTAAATTCTGCAATGCTACTATAACATATAAAGATATGTTGCCAATTACTTACCCACAACAAGTCAAACTAGTTGAACTACATGTGCATATTTCACATGTTACTAAATCTACTGTTTGCTCATCTATCTCCCACTTTTTTGTTCCTAATTCGCAGTAATCGACTGGACTCATTGTTTTTATATCTAAAATAAAAACACATTATTCCAATATTTCAGAATAAAAACATACATCACACAAGATACACATATTAATAGATAAATAAGATTTTATTGTATCATTGCATCCACCAAGGACAGCATACACAGTTTAAACAAAAGTTGATCATGATTATAATATAGCATCTGGGGTGATGCAATTTGATATAATCTATAAGCATTAAAAGATGGTCTGTATAATGAAAATCAGTATAGAGCTAAAACGAAAATTATCTAAACTAGCTGGAAAGTAAACAAACTATTTCTACCGTAAATTTTAGTATAATAAACATATTGTATTGAACAGGGGTGTTGCTTAACGGGTAACCTGACTAGCATTTTCGTTTGGAGGATTTAAAACAGTAATCATATTACATGAGATGTGCGGTTGCTTTTGAAAATTGGCGTAAATTTAGAATTTCTAAGATTGTTATATTTATTACAGTCAAATATGAAATGGTATTTTGTTTATTATTATTACATTGTTTACATAAACGTGCATGTGGCGGAATATTTTTATAACGACCACTCTCTATCTCGAGATGGTGTGTGCTAAGCCTAATCGAAGTCTGCGCAACTTTATGGGCCTTCGATTTAACGGAGTGCAGATAGAACGGTATCGCATAAAAATCTGGCTTAATCTTCCCATACGTCAGAAGTTTATGGATCGATTGTGAATTTTCTTGTTGATCAGTAACTATTAGGAAAAGATCGACAAGTTTCTTTTCGGTGGCAGATTTTAGGTCATTTTGTTCAAGTTCAAAATATCTGGTTAAAACCCCTATGCTATGACAATACGATTGTCTTGAACCAGCAGTTTTACAAGAAAGTTCATAATCCGTTACAAATGACGCGTCAAGGGGTTTGTTTTTATCATCCGATAAGAATCTTTTGAAGTAAAGAAGCGTGCGCTGATATATGTCCAGAGATAGTAGATGATTACCACATTCAGCTAGACATCCCATGTTACTGGCATATTTAAAATGGATTTACAAGATCGTACTTCTATTTTCTTCAAATTTATCCCATCTGTCAATCTTAATTATGTTTTTGTTTTTGATAACGTATGAAACCCAAATCTCTGCCCCATAAAGGGCTATCTGCTTAACAATAGAATGATAAAGTTTTATCATTACTGTAGAGGCCAGGGATTCAGTACAGCATAGTTTCTGTCTTATCGCATACCACGCTCGTCGGGCTTTTTTCATTTGGTCACAAAATGCTGTTTTAAAGCTAGAAGTACTAGTAATCGTTAATTATTTTTGAGTTTAAATTCTTCAAAATAAAATTTATATACACACTTTTGCTTTTTACTTGTTTTAGAATTAAGGAACGTCATTATTTTTTGTTTTATTCGGATTAAGTTTCAGTTGCCAATCCGAAAAGAACTCAGATAAATTATTTAATTGATTCTGTAGGTTAGCCTCATTGGAAGACAATAAAACTAAATCATCCGCAAACATAAGATGAGTTAACAGTTTACCATTAAGCAGCGGGGTGCTAGCTGATATTTGAAGGTACTTTGGTAGATCATTAACATATATTAAACAGGGTTGGGCTCATGTTAAAACCCTGCTTGACACCAACCGTCGAAGAAATTACCTTGGATAATTTATCATTAGATTTTATCTTATAAGTTGTTTTATGACACACAGATTGTATAATATTATATACATTACCGTTTATATTATGTTTAACTAATTTGTAGAAAAGGCCAATTCGCTATACTGAATCAAATGCTTTTTTGAAATATTAAAGACGAGACTATAGATATAACACTGAAATCAAGACCGCCCCCCACCACACACACACACACACAAACACACACCTACTACCACCGCCACTCCCCCACCCCCCATAAAAACATTTGAAGTACCTTCGGGGAGGGGGGCGTCACATAACCGCCACACAAGATAAATGCATTAAAGCCAAGATTGTAGATCCCAGAGAAGATAATACCATTGAAATTAAGAATCCAAAGAAAAAAGACACGTAACCGCGTAATGTACTGTATATGTACAGAATTGAAGACCTTAATTCATCCACGTATTACCTCAAGGCAACAATGTCGGGCGTCCTTTATTGGACCAAAATTAATCTTTACTTGTTTTGTAATAATTATGATCTTTAGGCCTGAGATGTTATCTAAATTATTAATTAGACATTAATTAACTTATCCAGACCATAATCAACCCCCGGTGTCATCGCTAGCCTGCGATGTTTATTGGATTAGGTTCCGATTTGCTGTTCGACTTCCATTCATGATTTAATCATGAACTGGATAATCGAGACTATGTTTTTTTTTATCGTACCGACTTTAGTAATGATGATCGGGGCTAGGCCGAAAATAAAATCGGTAAAATCTCGGTTCAGAGTGGATCAATTTGACTGATATTTTCAGCAAATTTCCTTTACATTATCTAGTTTTTAACTATTATAGTGAGAACTGCCAGCTCTTTATCTAATCTCCCATAATGTATCTTTAATTACTGCTTGATTGTGGCTATTATTTTAGATTTAAAGTATTTGTGGACTATCTCTGCCCAACCTCAATCCCAAAATAAATAGATAACATTTATATGTTACTTGTACGTTTATCTTTTTATAAAGTATCTAGCAATCAAATTGCTTATCACTCTACTCACCCTAAGCAGAAAGTGCCCATTAACATCCTACTGTTCTATCTAGTCGTTCGGATGGGACGAAAAACCGAGATCTCGTGTACACATTGGCGTGCACGTAAAAGATCCCTTGGCAGTTGGAATTCGATATAAAAGTAGGCCGTAGCGCCACTGTCCGGACGAAATTTTCCTCATAGCACATTGTATGGCGTATGCCCTTCTTCATTTGCCCAGTCAGAGCAGAACAATAGAACGTTAAACCCCATTTCATTTCATTTCATTTTCAATCACATAACATTATATGTCGTTATTTGAACGTTCCTGGTGATAATACGTTATTTTGTTTATTAGAAACTATATTAAAACTTATATACTTTTTATAAACAAAAACATTTTGGGGACAGACCACGTTTATTTAAACTACGTCTTAGTTTATCAAGCAGGGTACTTCTCTGCATCAATGAAGACGCGGTAAATTTTGCCCAGACAGCGGCTCCACGGCCTACTTTTATTTAAAATTCCAACTGACAAAGGTACCATTACGTGGGGAAGCCATGCTGGACGCAGACCTTCTCGTTAGTGAACCAGCGATACAGTTAATCCTAATTTTTGGCAAAGTCAGGGAGATTTGAAATTGGGGTGTGGGCAAGAAAAAGCCTTAGCGTATTCCGCAAAAGAAACTTGCATAGAAACATCCTAAGAAAAAGGGATTTAAATTTTAAATATTTTTTATTATAGCAAAGCTAGCATAGTGTATTCTCAATTACGATATATATATATTGAAAGCATGCATTAGAATACATATCAACATATAAAACTGACTCTCTTCTGAAATATAGACTCCTAATTTTACGGGCCGTTAGCTGCAAATTTAAGCAAACGATCATTTCAATCCTATCTGTGTAATTCTCAGGTGTAGCAAGCAAAAACAAATACTGAATAATTGCTCCCTCGTCTCGTCGGGATTAGGCTTCCATACTTAACCGAAGAATGCTTGCTCATGCGCAGTGATTGACTTTCGAGGCGACAAGTCGCGGCACGACAAAGCGAAGTGTAATTTGTCCGACTTGTCGTGTTGTGAATAAGTCAAAGGTGAAATCAGAAATAACAACAACAAAATGTATACTTTACCAAATAGTCTGACTATTTCTCTGGCGTAACAGTAGGCGTGGCAGTAAGGAAGTACAGTCGCTAAAAATGCCACTAAAGCAACAGTCAACGATTTCATCTTGATAATCTTGATAAAATAAACAAAATGAACAGTTATAATATTTATGTATTTCAAATACCACGTCGTGGCATATATTTACACCATAATTATGCATACTTAATTCAAGGGATATTGCGGAGAGAAATATTTTCACCATAATTTTATGCATACTTAATTCAAATGATATTACGGAGAGTGAGAGAAAGAGAGAGAGAGAGAGAGAGAGAGAGAGAGGAGTAAACAAAACCTAGAGAAAATCCACGAGGTTAACCATGCGACAAAACTGAAACCATAACAATATTCGGTGCATATGACTATTCGCATGTCCACTGTCGTTACTTGATTTTGCCGTATTATTTGAATATGATATTACTATAAAACTAATTACGTTGATTTTCTTCTTGAAAGTGACTGCTTGCTTAACGACGGGGTGTCTCTTTAAGGAATGTAACAAATAATGTTAATTTGCACATGTTCTAATGAGTAAATCATTAATTCGTTTTCTAAAGAGCTATTATTTTATTTTGGTGATTAATCTAAATTGTGTGGACTTACTGAACCCTATGGTAAACCCAAATCTCTTTTTTATAGGTTGTTCGCTAATTTCAAGTATTCGCTTAATTCTTGCATCTTCCGGAACATACAGCTTTTTGTAAAAGAAAATATTTCTGTCTTTCTTGTTCAAAGAATACATTTTTTAGTACATGCTTCTATTATCAGGATGGCGCCTGTGGGAAATTACGAAAAGCGATGTTCACCTATTTATTGGCATGCACGTAAAAGGGCCCTTGATATCGAAGAATCGGGGAAAATTACCCTATCCTGCATTGCAGATAGGAAATAAAATTACCATATGCTTGTCTCAAAACGACCAAATATATTCCATATATTACGGTATTCACCTTGATGGTAATACAGCGCACCCCCCCCCCCCCCCACACACACACACAACCACCCACCCACCCACACACTCACACTTTACGCTAATAGTGGCGAAGCATGTAATGCATATAATACCAAGGGTTCGTGACATCATTTGTCGCCGAGGGAGTTGATACCAAGATTTGAAACCCAAATGCATCGATGCCCGTCAATACCGATTGCGATTCTCCTTTTGGATTATGATCATTCACGTCTTATTTCTTTACAGAATTGGTTATAATGCTGGTTCATTTGTGATACCCGGATGTAAGATACAGAAACTGGATAACTGTTGCTACCAATTTGTAAAGAGCAGTAACTCATCTATTCCTTGTACTGAAGTGGAATGTCCCACGCCATATAAACCATAAGACCACATTTAATCGAGAAAGATATCAAATGACTAAATATATTTCAATCGGCCAGTCAGAAAACATTGTGATTGAATAAACAAATATTTTCTGATATAAATATAGTGTATGCTTGTCATTTGCGTGGCCTTAATTCGATGATATATTTTCAAGAACTGACAAAGAACATCTTCAAAGGATCTTCAGTTATGCAGTGACTAAAAATACTTTATGTTTGCACTGGTCACAAAGCCTGTCGATAATGATTTCATATCATCTCTCTGTAATTGGCTAAGCTGGGTTAGCATGGCTGAATTTTGAATTTCAGAAACATGTTTTCGTCAAATTAGATCTTGCACCCCTTTAATGAAGACTAAGCTGTTGTTTTGTTGTGTTAAGACACGAATCCAATACGACACAAATAGCCCGAGTTATTCCCCGGTTTCACATGGACTACGACTGCCACGAATCGCCCCGAATAGTGCCGAATTCATATTAATCGAAATTCGTGGCGCTGCGGAAAAAGAAATGAACATTTGTGGAGAATGGAGAGTTACAAAAATTCGTTAGTAATCGGGTGAAAATATGCCGAATGTCAAGATGGGGTTACGATAAAAATACTGAATGAAGTAAGCATCTACGATTCGTAGCGATTCAGTTACGAAGTAGTTACGAATATGCCGATAAGGCTACGTAAAGTTTCCGATATTCTTTGGTCTCTAAACGCTATAAAAAGCCACCGATCAATGCCGAAGCCGTCATCTGCGCAATGGATGTTCAACGGAGAGTAGATCTGACTACCAACTACTGGTAGCTGAGAACCTGGGGAGAACCCCCAAGAAGACAGAAATGAAATGAAATGAAATGGTGTTTAACGTCCTACTGTTCTGCTCCTATGCTGGGCTAATGAAGACGGGTATACGCCATACAGTGTGCTATGAGGGAAATTTTGCCCGGGCAGCGGCACTATCGCCTACTCTTATATCGATTTCCAACTGCCAAGGGATATTTTACGTGCATTCCAATGTATACACGGGACCTCGGTTTTTCGTCTCATCCGAAGGACTAGACAGATGTCATTGTCAAGCCCTCCGTCCTGCATCACTGACAAGGGGGGACCATGCCGGAAAACAAGAAGACAGAGAAGACCCCAACGCTGGTAGGTTAGACCATGGCTGAGTCCCCAGAAAAGGCCAGAATATGGCAATTACAACAGACTGATGGATTATCTGACGGTGGAAGTTAAGAAATCTATCAGAATGCCACCCCAGATGAGCTCCTCCAGAGTATTGACCCTGAACTCAAGCTGGCAGTGACCCTAAGACACCTGCTGGCTACAGGAGACCAGTACCCCACTCTCCACTATGACAAGGGCAATGCTCGAGACATCGTCACAGAGAAGTGACAGGACTTCATTAAAGACCTGAGGGACGAGGTCTTGCCACTGCCCCGGACCCATGATGACTTAAATGCCATTGCCCAGCAATTCCAAGACCGGTGGAATGTTCCTCGTGGTAGCCTTGGATGGAAGAGACGTCCGGCTGTGTCTTCTACAACTACAAGGGCTTCTTCTCCTGGTTTCGATGGCCCTGGTGACTGCAAGTTCATCAGAACAGAATGAAGTCATCGAAGACGGGGCCATTAACTTCCCTAATGCTGTTCTTGACCTCTTGGCCACTTTGTAAATGGCGTTTTGGAGTCGTTGGAAGGAGGGAACGGCACTGATGGGGGGGGGGGGGGGCTGGGGAATCTCCAGTAACTTTATTACCTCTACCTGGAGCTGGCCATCTCGGACCGGAAATCCGCCTGCTCCTGGTTGGCGAGGTCGGACACCACCCTGGGCTTCTTGGTATTTGCTCCGGTGGTAGGCGCTCACCCGTTGGCAATATCGTCGTCCTCCTACTCCATCACCTGGAGTGGCTCGTCATCCACCCGCTGGCGCTACTCCTGGGTGGGGTCATATCTTAAGAGCCTTCATATGCTGCCGGAATGTCACCCGGTGGAGGTGTAGATCCCCTGGGGCTTTCCTGTTCCCGTGGCCGCTTGCCTTTGCCCTTAGTGGACATCGGAGGTTTGTGTGGCATCATGAAGATATTGGGAATCGTGCCTTACAGATAAGTGATATAAAAATTTGAATTACTATTTTGTTCTGAAAATAACCGCGTTACATTAATAGCGAAATGTAATCTTTGAGGGATGTTACAACAATTCACTTAATTACTAAATGAGTAGAATAATTGAATCACAACCTCGGTTCTGAAATTTGACATTATAAGGTGTCAAAGGTCATACCCAAACTGTCTATATTAGCAAGTTAACTTCCATATTATATAGCTACAAGAGATAATCGTAGTGCTAAAAAGTTATAGATTCGTAAGATCTAACACGGAGTGAGTAATTACACAATAATTTGTTAGTGATAGTTCTGGTTGATTAGTAATTATACCTTGTCATATTTATAATTAAAGGGGTACTCAGACAGCCAGACTCTGATCGTCTAAACTTAGATTGCATTCACAATCTGTGGCAAGTCTCTCCAGTCAATAGACGTTTTAAGATTCCGTGGGACTAAATGACAACTCGTGGAAAATGATTTGTTCTAAGGAAGCCTATGATGGATTAACGTCCGTTTAAAGTAGCTAAGTCTCTAACTCAATATCACCAAAAATCTTCGACATTGAAAACACGAATTATTTGTCAGTTCAAATCAACATTGATCCTGTGATCTTACAGGGAAAAGATGGGCTTCTGATATCCAATATTCAAGACAAAATAAACATTTTACCATTTGGAACACGGGACTCAAAGAACAGGGCTAGACATATTCCACAAGTCATGTCAAATGGTGACGCTATATTCTTATCTGGAGAGCATGCGCAATAAATACCATCGGTGTAGACTGGAAAAACCAGACGCTAAAGATTGCTATTCACATGAGACTTTTGGCGTATTTCGCCGAACATAACTGATTAGAAATTACAGTAAAAACAGAAGCGATTGAATGTAAATCAGTTTATATACATTCATATTACATTATTATATGCGTTGCGACCCATTTTTGTCGATTTCTAGGTCCCAAATATGAGCGATTTGGCTCCTTTAAGTTTATCGTGAATATACTATAATTACATTTGATTTTTGGTTAAAAGTGATAATTCCTCTTTAGAGAAAGGGCGAGGGAAGGTGTGTGTGTAATGGTTAACCAGGTTTATTATACAATGTTATGGAATACATATTATACGAAAGTTGTTTGACAATTATTATAATTATTAATTATCATTATGATAATTCCTAAATAATATTATACAGTCTGCGTTAATATTTATTTCATAATAACATATTTGCTATCAAAATGACATTCCTTATTTAGCACTGGTCATAAACAAAATTGTAGATTTCAAGGGATTTTATATGTAGATGAAACTAATGTTGATGTATTATTGTTCAAGTATCGACACAGAATGCTAAAAATAAATCTGAACCTACTTCTGGTTTTAATCTTTAATAATCATGTAGCGCTTGTTCCATTACTAATCGAAAAAACAAATCAGATTATCCCAATTCATTACTTTAGATTCAGCTCCTTTAAGGATTGTGTAAGTTTTAAATAAAGAGTTGGTCGTTCTTGCTATACCAAATCAATCAACAATACATAACGATAAATAAATATTTTGAAAATTTCAGTCCAATTCCATTTACTTTATTCTGAGAGAATAGGTGTTTGACAAGATGGTCTCGATTGTCAATTACCATTGATGAGACAAAAAACCCTCCAATAAACGAAAAAGTCTCGCTTATCCATTTGCACGTTATATTATTAACTGGCGTGGATGTTCTAATGCATTTAATATATCGATCACCCGAGTTGATTATGTCTAAATAATAATTCATATAACATTTGAAGCTTGGGGAAATTTAGCTCTTACATAATGCATCTTTAAATAGTAAATATTTTTGTATTGTTGTGACATTTGTGGACCACCTAGCTGCATGGTAATTATACGAGCAACACCACCATGATTTGCTTATCTGTTGTTGAGATACAAAAGTCAATGTTATTCAGTTAATTAATAATATACATCATTAATGCCCACTCATTTTTCTGTATTATGAATTCTCATTATTGGGCCTAGTTGGACAGAAATAGATCCGAATCCCCTTTCTAGGCAGGATAATATGAAATGAATTACATGCTGCTTAACTATTTGAACAGAACTTTTCAGACTAAAGGAATATTTCTTAAAAACCCTCCAACATTAATTACTGATTTGTTTTCGTAATCCCGTAACTATTCTGATATCCACAAAACACAATACAGCTCAATAGTTACCGGTATTAAAATCCCTTTTTATCTGGATAACTGATGTGAAAGGTGGATAAATATGTCAACGAAACACAACCGACCTATCTGATGGTTTCCGGTTTGAATTTCATCGGGATTTTCCAGCGTGGTTTCCCTTTGTCAGTGGTGCAGGACAGAGGGCCTGACAAGGACAGCTGTCTAGTCGTTCGGATGGGACAAAAGACCGAGGTCCCGTGTATACATTGGCATGTACGTAAAAGATCCCTTGGCAGTTGGAATTCGATATAAGAGTAGGCCATAGTCGCGGTGCCCGCGCAAAATTTCCCTCATAGCACACTTTATGGCGTATGCCCGTCTTCATTAGCCCAGTCGGAGCAGAACAGTAGGGCGTTAAACCCCATTCATTTCATTTCACCTATCCACAACCCCCGCCCACCCCCACACCTGCTACTATGGTCTTCGTTCCGACGGCCGGGTGTATGTCTTTAATTCGGGGGATCAGCTTGTTTAATTAAATGTTTTATCATTTCAGATTTGAAACAAAATTGTATCGACAAATACAATGAAGTTTAGGGAGATTTTGGCTATCGGCTTATTGGTTATCTTAATGAGTGAAGAAATAAATACTTACTGTTTCTATGGACGCCCAAAGATTGCATTTACTAGTAAGTATTGAAATGTTTAATGATATTCGATAACAGAATCATTGTGGTGTTTAATGGAGTCCGATCAACTTTTCGAGCGCCAAAAAATAACTATTATAAGTATTGCAGATTTCCATGTCTTTGCCGGGTTTCGACTAGATCGGGGTGGAAATGGGAATGCTTCCATCACTCATGACTTGCAGACTTTTGAATATACTACTGGTTGTTTTTATATGAACAACTGCAGACTTTTGAATATCTGGTTGTTTTTATGTGTACAACTGCAGACTTTTGAATATACTGTTGGTTGTTTTTAAACGTACTACTATTATAAAGACTGTTGATTATACTGTTGGTTGTTTATATATATATATATATATATATATATATATATATATATATATATATATATATATATATATATAGGTAAAGGTAAACTAGATATATATTGTGCTGTACCAAATGGGAAGATGAGACCCGGTGACAGATTTCGTGCTGGTTGCGAAGAGTGTTCGTGTACACGTACTAGTTGGCGCTGTTGTGGGTGGGTATTTTTATAACCTTCATATACTGTAATATCCAATAAACAGTCTACTCGCCATTTAAAATAAAACGGTTGAAAGGGATGCGTATTTTTTCTATAGAAGTATTGAATGATTCTGTACATCTCTAATATTTGTGAATGGACAGAATACAATACTGTCATTAACTATTGTCAAGTGTCGATTAACTGATTTTCAATTCTGGTGGGTTTGTGGTAAACAGGAAATCGTCTGTCATTCCTGTTGCGGGATATTTCCCGGTATTTTAATTTTAGTCCGTCAATCGTCAGATCGGATTTCACTAGCAAAGTTAATAAAGCACACCTGCCACTTCATTAATGCCTGACACCGAATGAATAGAAGAATGAATGAAAAATGTCAGCCGGCGGGAAGAACTGAAACCATGACGACAAAATTAAATGACTGGTATTATTATTATAGGATTAACTCATAACGTATTTTAATTTTGATAATATTGACATATCAGTACCACACAAGGCCATCATTTCAATCAGTTAAACTAAACACAGATGATTACGAGTGCAAGGCGAGTAGGTGGAGTGGGGTGGATGCCAAGAAACTGTATTTCCACGTTTCTTCTTTGTTTTACAACTGTCTTGTAGAGAGGGCGAGAAAGGGGAGGGGGAGAGGAAGATGGGTTTAACGTCCGCTCGACACAAACTAAGTCATTTCGGTACTAACATATGATTCAGTTTTATTTCAAGAATTCGCTTGCACCTGGGGGTGGGGGATCTTTAGCAGCGGGAGGAAACTGGAGGACTCGGAGAAAACCCACAAGGTAGAACAGGCGATCCAACTTATTGTCACGTTCAAGCAGAGAATCGAAACCATGCCTATGACAGACCTTGTGATTTTCAGACGCACGCGTTAAACCACTAGGCCCCCACCACCACCACCACCACCACCCCACCGCCCCACCGCACCCAAAATGTCATGGGATTTGCTAGGGCTACTATCCAGTTTGTACACCGGATCTCTACACACCTTCCTCGTCAGTTTCGGAGGAGCCACCCTTGTTGAGAGAAGGGTGGGGGGCATTCTGATATTTGATATAAGAGTAGGCCATAGTGCCGCTGTCCGGGCAAAATTTCCCTCATAGCACACTGTATGGCGTATGTCCGTCTTCATTAGCCCAGGATAGGAGCAGAACAGTAGGACGTTAAACCTCTTTCATTTCATTGTAAACTGAATTAGCAATAAGAGCGGTTTATTGACTTAGAGATCCCGTCCAGAAAATAAACATGCACACCTCGCGCGCGGAAAACTGCGAAAAATCCGCTCACCGAGCAACTTTTTTTCCTCGTGGGGTTCTATCGCGCGCGGAAACGCTTACATGAAAGCGTCCCCATTACATTTGCATTCGTCCGACTTTTTCGCCGGCGGAAACGCGTACATGGCAAACGGGCCTAACCGGAGGTCCGAAATCGTTTCCGAAATTTGTCTACAGTGCTTCAAGATTTAAAGATGGTTCAAAGTTTTTCCTCGTGGGTTTTATCGCGCGCGGAAACGCTTACATGAAAGCGGCCCTATTACATTTGCATTCGTCCGACTTTTTCGCCGACGGAAACGCGTACATGGCAAACGGGCCTAACCGGAGGTCCGAAATCATTTCCGGAATTTGTCTACAGTGCTTCAAGATTTTAAGATGGTCCAAAGTTGTAGCATGGGTAGTTACAGACCAAGTCCGAAGACGACATTTAGTGCAATTACGGCCATTTGATTTAGAAAATGTTTTCCGGTTCTTTTCCTTTTATGCTTCAAAATCTGAAGCTGGTCCATAGGATAATATGCACATAGGATATAATTTTACAATTGACAGGCGTGTATGTTTATACATTCAAGACCACCTGATACCACTTCTGATTTTGATTAAAAATGTCCACATAATTTCACATTAAGTTGCACTTTTTGTTGCACTTTTGCATTTACTAAGCGTGCTCTTAATTAGAGTGTTCTCTTGGTCGTTTACGACCGTAAATCGTCGAAGCTTGGTCGTTTACAATCGTAAATCGGCGAAGCTCTCTACTTTGAGCCCACCACCACACTGGCTTTTATTTCTCTTTTAAAATCGGCCAGAATCTGTTAATGGACTTTTGTTGTTTTATTTCCTAGGATTGGTTTTAAGTCCGGTTTAACTGTAATGCCGGGCTGCACGAAGAAGAAGTTGGATTATTGTTGCTACCAGTTTGTGAACAACACAGATCCTTATATTGCTTGTTCGCCTGTGCAATGTCCACCATCATTCACAAGACTGAGTTATACACCGGTTAAAAATATTTATACTAACTTTGTGCACAACTGATTCTTGTACCCAAGACTGAATTTGCTGTACTCGATGAATATCTGTATAAAAGAAAGTAGGGGTGGATGGATGACGGTGCATTACTTATGATTTCAATTTTGGTAATGAATATTATAGTTCAAATAAAATATTTTTGCAATCTTTTATTTGGATTTTATATAACACGATTAACCGGGGGGGGGGGGGGGGGTAACTAACTAACGCCTTTCAAGGCAAGAGAAACATACATCAAGATGATAGTGTTCACGAGCAATTTTACGATCAATCCCGAGGAAATCCCTCTTTGAGAGAAATTGTTGTCGAAAGTTGCATGACAGTTGGAAAACCTCCACAAAATGTTAATTTGCGAAACTTGTTCGAGTTTATCAGAAAAAGTATGATTTGTGAGATATAGACATATAAGAGAGAGAGAGAGAGAGAGAAATGGGGTTTAACGTCCACTCGACACAAACTAGGTCATTTCGGGACTAACATATGGTTCAATTTTATTTCAATAATTCGCTTGCGCGTAGGGGTCTTTAGCAGTGGGAGGAAACCGGAGGACCCGGAGAAAACCCACGAGGTTGGACAGGCGACCCTACTCCTTGTCACGTTCAACCGGGGATTCGAAACCACGCCAGTCGACTCAATGACAGACTTTATGATACAGCGCGCGCACGCTAACCATTCAGCCATCCAACCCCCCCTAGACATATAAGGGAATATAGAAATATGTAATTAAATATTGATTGATCCTTCAACCAGCATAGGATCTGGGTGGTCGAGTGGTCTATAGCGTTGGCTGTAGATCATAGAGCCTGTTGTCTATGCAAGGTATGGGTTCAGCTTCTGATTTGAACGTAACACATAGTAGGGTCGCCTTGCCTAACCTCGTGGGTTTTTATCAGTACCTCCCTTCTGAGTCAACAAAAATGGATATAATGATAGAAGCCATTATTGGCATTACATATGTAAAGATTGCCGACTTTTCGATCATACACGCTGCAGATAATCCTCCAATTACATGCAACCCATAACGTTAATGAACTATGATGATCAAGTTTACACTAGCGAGCAGGTTGAAGAAAGTTACCTCCCCGTTGATCTCAACTGAGCAAAGCTGTTGTGTCACAGACGGGTCAAATGTATTTACCAAGGCCACCTGCAGATTTCGTCCAGATCACGAGATGTAAACATGGTTGAGACACGTGATTGTGGGTTAGCTTTAAGAATTTGGGAAAGAGGTTAAGCCTTCACATTAGCACTGATCTAGGATGATGGAAATTTAGTGATATTTCCTAGTTTTATAAAAATAAAAATACATACAATACATTAGATTTATATACAGAGTTGATTTCGCTGTTTTTTTTGGTATTGGTGGCGTTGATGGCCTTCCTTAGGTGTCGCTTGTGGTATTCTGGTATTTTTATTTCTGAAGAAAAAAAATCAAATTTGAGATTCTCCTGTGACAGACACATTAGTGTGTTTCCCACCAAGGATTGGATTTTCAAAAAATAAGTTTGTTTCAATATTCTCGGGTTAGTGCTAGGGATTCATATATCTAGTTGATTTTATTTACTCAGGGTTAAGACTAGGGTTTGATATATTGTTCGCTTTTGGTTAGGGAGAGGACTGGTCTTATTTAGTCTAATTTACTGTGCACTAAAATGTCCAGATTTTTTTTTATAGAATATGCAATTATAAGTTTCTGTTTGAAGACTTTCGGATGATTTTTCTGGAGATCAGTATAGTGTTTTCTGATTGTTTTGGATGCACTTGCTGCTGTTGCACTAAATGGGACTACAAAAGGTGTTCTTGCGCAAGCCGCATGAATATTCAAACCTATGTGTGTGTGTGTGGGGGGGGGGGGGGCTATTTGTTTCCAACTTGTCAATCCAGATTTTTTCTCTTGTTAGCCTAAACGTTTTAATTTCTTCTGTAGTTTCAAAGTCGCTCTTAGTCTTTTCTGTTGGCGTGACATTGAGGTTAGAGGTATCATGATTTGGTTGGTTGAAGTGAATTGAGACCGGTTTGTCTTTTTTGGTGACCGGTGACTGTTTATTCTTTCAAGTGTATTTTCGATCTCCTCTACGTATTGTTTGTCACATTGTCTACATGAAATTAAACAAATTATGTAAGTTGGTCTAATACTGGAAATTGTGTGCCAGATGTTTTGTTATGGAAGTGGTCGGATATGTTTATGATTTTGCATGTTTGACATCTGGGGTGGCCACAAGTTTTGTTTTTATCTGCTGAATCCATATTGTTTGCTTCTTTGGCAGCAAGTTCCACAAATTGAAAACAAATGTTGCGACTGTTTAGGGCGTTAACTTTTTTTTTATTTAATTAATTCTGTAGTTTTGTAATCGAAGGTCAGCTTTAAACACGTAGATAGCATGTATATTTTTAGCATATATTATATTCAATGTTCCTAATAAAACTCAAGAAATTGTTAAATTTTTGGAAATTAATAAACCTGTTCATAATTGGTAAAATTACTCTTATGCATTCATTATTGCTATCACAACACTGTTACAATCTACCTGTTATACTATTTTCCTAAAAATTGAAATATAAATGTCCAAATGTTAAAGACTAAATTTTGGTGTATATGGAAATTAGAGACACCCAATCTTACTCGAAAATTGCCGGATTCCCTGAAAAAAAAACCACCCATGGGGAGCGCAGAAGACAAAAATGTATGGGTATCCCTTAACAACAGGTCGTCAGTTTAGCTGTCTGTTTGAGTGACGCAATGGACATGTGTTGTGTTGATCTAATGGCTAACGGTTGTGAGATTAAACGGCGGAATTAGAAGTTGGCAGGGGATAATCCAGAAATTTCCTTCGATATTTATAGTAAATGGAAATCGACTAACGACAAATACAAGCTGTTAATGGAGTCTCCCTCAATCTATTTACGTGATAAACACGAATGATTAAACTTAGAATAGTTCAAATATATTATCCAATCGCGCGGTTTGTATGCGGAAAGATATCTTTACAGAGATTATGTGAATGATATAGGTGAAACGCTGTCAACTCTTGCTATAATAATTCAAAAACAGATCATGAAAAATGAATGTTTATATTCCTAGTTTCAGACAAATTACTCTATTCTGAGCGAAGTTATAAATTTTAGAGGCTTTGACAAGAAATAGCCTTAATTGTACCAACGCCACTGTAATAAAAGAAGTGACGATTTCAGACCTTCTATCGACAGTCCCCGTGAATGGCGGCCATATTATCGTTTAACGCAGATAATGGGGTTTAGCCTTTTACTGTTATGCTCCGACTGAACTAATGAAGACGGCATACGTCACGCAGTGTGCTATGGGGAAAATTTACCCGTACAGCGGCACTGCGGGTAAACGACTTATTCACTAAGCCACCGCGACTCCCTATATATATATATATTATATGCCGATATTTAAATAGTGTACATAAAACCTGTTAATGTTTCATTACCATGAAGCCATCATAAATTATATACTATTATCTAAAAACAAGTATAAAACGTATTTAGAATAGTCAATTGGTATAATTCCTTTTTACGACCACTGCACTGATATTAACTGTACTGTATGTGAATAAATATCTTTACAAGAGAAAAAAAAATCTTCCCAAAAAGGAAAAAGAGTACGGTAGGCAGGCAATGCTGAACGGGTAAAGAATTAATCTAAAACTGAAATTAGAAAACGATTTCAAATCAATATAGCCTTTTCCATTTTCGATCTTTTAGATCTTCGCATCGCCATCAAGGGGTGGGGGGTGGGGTGGATGACCGAATGGTTAGCACGTGCGTGCTGTATCATAAGGCCTGTCATTGAGTAAACTGGCGTGGTTTCGAATCCCCGGTGGTACGTGACAAGGAGTAGGGTCGCCTGTTAAACCTCGTGGGTTCCCCGGGTACTCCGGTTTCCTCCCACTGCTAAATACCCTTACGCGCAGCGAATTATTGAAATAAAATTAAACCATATGTTAGTCCCGAAATGACCTAGTTTGTGTTGAGTGGACGTTAACCCCCATCCCCCTCTCTCTCTCTTTCTCATCAAGGGATAATATCACCCACTTTGGGACGCCTGTACCATACAGACATATTTTCTGATGAATTTTCTTGGGATATTTTTTATTCACAGGCGTTAGAAACAGACAGTATAATCATTGCAAATATTGTAAACAGAAACCGATAAAGAGCTTGGTGAACGCGGGGGCTTTGATGGGCGATTGCAAACTCAAGTAGAACTAGGTTTCACGATCCGGAAGATCATGTCAACCACGCATGTCATAACAAATACAGCTCAGCTACAGGCGTAGTTCGATACATTTCCCCTACGCGCAAGCGAATTAATGAAATAAAATTGAACCATATTTTAGTCCGGAAATGACCTAGTTTGTGTCGTGTGGACGTTAAACCTCATTTCTCTCTCTCGATACACTGATTGTTCTTTTATTATCAAACCTTTTTTTGTAAACAATGTTTCAAAATTTATGAAAAGGGGTCAGGGAACGGGCATAGCGTATCAGGTCTGCTCAGTGCCGGACTGGTGAGCCGAAGGCCCACCTGTCAGGTCATTAACCAAGGCCCACACAAGTACCCGCCGAAGGCGTGTAACGAGCGAGGTCCGAGGGGGTCTTTGGGGCTCTCCCCCAGGAAAATTTTGAAAATTGACAACCGCAAACCCATTTTCCAGGCATTTCAAACCTAAGCAGAAGAAGGGAAACGTTTGATTTCCTGATACAATTAGATAACAGAAGACCTAAGAGCACTATCATTAGATGAATTTGAGAATTCTAGTACATATGTACACTTCTTCTTTTGTGTTGTCTGTCATTTTTTTCCTATCTTTTCTTTCTCCTGTCCTGTCTGTCTCCTGTCCTCTCCTTCCTTCTTTCTTTTCTTTCCTCCTCCTCTCCTTTCTTTCTCTTTTCTTTTTTCTTTCTCTTTTTTCTTTTTTCTTTATAGGCTTAGGCCCACTTTTTTTTTTAATGAGTTTCGGTCCACCTGTCACGGACAGGTGGACAGGTGGGCCCAGTCCGGCACTGGGTCTGCTATGTGCATTTTGTAAAATAATGGTGAAAATCATATAAAATAAATAAGTTATATACGCACTATTGATAACAAATGAAAGAAGAGGAAGTGCTATTTTATAACATTGACGTCACTATTTTACATTACATTATACTAACCACAGTTGAAATACGTGACGCTGACAATGTCTGTTCAACATAACTACAAGTTATCCGTTATATACATTAACTAATTTAACAATTGGCATTATTATAACAGCGTTTAATTGTTCTCAAGTACGTTATAGGAATAACAATGTCACGCACTCATACAGCCACAGGAAAATATTCAATTGAGCTTTCATTAATATCAATAAGTAATCTCCAATGAATAATTATTTACATTCATATTAACTGAGTATAATTGAAAGTTCAAAATGTGTAGTTTTACAATATCGTTACTTAAAATCATATCAAAATATATTTTCAGACAATTTGTCTGCTCTTCGAAAATAACTACCATTCAATCCCAAATCAACTTGAACACTTTTTACATATAATATATATATTTAGATCTATATAAAGTTAATGTGATATACAATTATTTATATTGTCCAGATTAAAAGTATGATTAAATACAATTATAGAGTATAAACCACCTAAATTTAGGTAATAAATGGGGATGCATTAAGAGTTAGCGGAAAACCTATTTTATTCATTTTTCATTTAATTCAGGCACATAAATGATTAGTACATAATATGACGTCGTGGGAGGCCCTGTTAACCACTGCAAATAAAGTTTACAACAGAATGTCAATACAAGATAATGAATGAAGTATCATCTAATGTGTTACATTTGGCTAAAGCCCACCGCAGACCGGCTAACATTTGTTGGCCGAACAATGTTTTCCGACAAAAGTTTGTCGGTGTATGTTGGATTTCATATGAAAATAACATCGGTCTCTTTTGAACAAATGCTGGTCGGTTGTGTTGAACATTCTTCGTTTGCGGGAAATTTTAAAATATATAAAACATTTGTTAGTCGGTCTACAGAGGGCTTTATGCAACAATATAGATATCATATACGCACAGACCAATCAATCATCCATTGTAGTAGTTGCAAGTTATGAAATAAAATGGGGTTTAACGTCCTACTTTTCTACTCCATCCAGATTTTGTCCGGACAGTGGCGAAATGGCCTACTCTTATTCTGAATTCAGATGGGACGAAAAACCGAGGTCCAGGGTACACACTGGCGTGCTTTAAAAGAACCCCATGTAGATGAAATTGAAAGAGAGAGAGAGAAATGGGGTTTAACGTCCACTCGACACAAACTAGGTCCTTTCGGGACTAACACATGGTTCAATTTTATTTCAATAATTCGCTTGCGCATAGGGGTCTTTAGCAGTGGGAGGAAACCGGAGGACCCGGAGAAAACCCACGAGGTTGACAGGCGACCCTACTCCTTGTCACGTACAACCAGGGATTCGAAACCACGCCAGTTGACTCAATGACAGGCCTTATGATACGAAATTCAAAGAAGAGTAACAGGAAACGCCGCTGTCGGACAAAATTTCTTTCTTCATGTTGGTTTAGCAGTTACACGTTAAACTCCATTTTATTTTATTTCCATGAACGCAAAGTCAGGATGGGTAATGACACGTATATCAGTTAAAATAGCATGGGGTTTTAGCGTCTGGTAATTTTTATTTCAATATCTACGTGTGCAATGCGGTGCGAGACATGTTCCCCGACAGAGGCTTTTCCGGCTAATATCGTTAACTTTCCTTTTATAAAGGTATTATGATTTAAATCTGTGCAGCTTTAGCAGTTTATTTGCAGCGGACAGGGGAATTAGATTCTCATTAGACATCCCTGTTCAGCTCATTACCCTACTTATTCTTTAACCTTTGATTTGATTAAGGATAAATGAATCACTGAATTATTTTTACACCCAACGGAACACATCCTATATAAAAGTAACGGTTAATGACTTGGAAAGATATAAGATGGAAACCTACATTAAATGGCACCTGAAAAAACATAAAATATAAAGTATGGGGTGGGGAAGGAGAGGTCACAATTAAATGGCATCTGTGACAGCATAAACACTATATAGAGTATGGCTTGGGATGGGCAGCACAGATACATCAATTCATTAGGAAAGGGTGAAATCAAGATCATTTTATAGTAAATAGGAATATGTCAAGATTATAAATAACGCAATAGCGAAGAGAAATCGAGTGTTCTAGAAATAGTGAGATACCTACAGAGACGTAAAGAACTAAAAAAAAAAAAAAAGTTCATCATAATAATCTACGTTATTCAGTCATAGATCACCTGCACATTTGAGTGTAGGCAGACAAAAGTGTAATATTGTTATACGAAACGAAATAGAGTTCTGAATATTAATCAGATGAGGTTTTCTAAAGATCGATGCCACAGTGGACTTTATCTTAGTGACTGGGACGTGTACAGGAATTTGAGCAGAGGAGGTTCAGATCACATTTTTGGAGACACGCCTGTGTGGGCAGTCTTACCCAACACAAAGTTAATGGAGATTTGAAACACAAAACCATGTTAAGATGAGCCATAGAACAATCGCAGCAGCTTTTCATTTGGGTGAAAAATAAAAGTGTCAATGTATTCAATTGTTTTGTTGGGTCGATATATTATTTTATAATTAAGATTGGAAAAATATTTTTTTTCATTTTTAAACTTTCAAATACGATACTAAAACAGATACATCGACCGACTTCCGCTTCCCATGCCAGAATGAAAATTTAATGGTACAGAAGGCAACGTGGTTGTAATCGAAAGTTTAGCGCTACATAACGAAGAAGATACGTCCTTTATATATTTCTAGCAAACGACCCCGGTACTTTTGAATATTAGAACACTGCATACGGTAGACATCTCACACTATACCGTCTACGTAGAAAGAGACTTAATTCACTTGTGTGATCTTTGTAAACATTGCATACTGGAACATGGAATGTTTTCATTATAGGTTTTCACAAATTGATAACAGCAATTCTCATAGATCTTGATAAAACACCCTCTTTCCTTCACTGACGCATCCCGGTAGCCCATTCTGAAAAATAAATCATAAAGATAAACAAAAACAAAAAAATTTGACACTTCAAGGAAGGGTTGATGAACACTGCCGCTTGCTGGTTTATCCTATCCATGTGTGCTTTCTTGCATAAGATTTACAGTTTAGCGTATCTTTGCTTTAGTGTGTTACATTTAATTTGATCGGGAGATCAACGTCAACGTCAACCGACAACACTGCAGGAATTGACCGTGGCACTGCAAGAGAAGTGGGACGGTTGATTAGGAGCATGCCACGGCGAATTGCTGAAAGTCAGAGGATTGGTAGAGCAATTACTCATTATCAATGACATTAAGAGAAAAAATCAAAAACGTCCATTTTCACTTTTGACAGTGTATCTTTTTGCGAGTGAAATAGGGCCGTCGGATAAGCCGCCCATATGAACTGTTTATGTTCATGTGTAGGCAATTGACCTGTTATTAACATACACTGGTTACCTCTAATAAAAACAGCAGTGCATTTCCGCAGTTTTGTATTGTTTCTGAATATCCCCTACTTTTTTTTGAAGAGTATATAATTGATCAACTGTTCAATATACAAAAAAAACTGTCCAAAAGTAAAATAAAATACTTACCCACAACAAATCCAGTATTCTTTAGAGCACATACATTCTTTACACGTTCTACTTAATACTCTTGTTTCATTTATTCTTAATTTTACACCTCCAATTTCACAAAAATTCTTTCCTGAAAATATCAATATGAAATATACAATTCTTCATATCGAAATTCAATGAAATCGAGCATGTATTTATATCCAAGATAGTCCTGGTTCCAAGAACAGCGGTAAAGAAAAAACAAACCAGGGGCGGATTGGGGCCGGGGACCACCCGGGCTCCCGTGTCGGAGCGTCCCTTTTACGGACCGCGTTGTCCGGGTCCGGGGCTTTCCCCCGGGAAAATTTTGAAAAATGAACCCCAAATATGCGATTTGGTGGCATATCTGATTATAATATCTGTCAAATAATATATCTCATAAATCGATTAATTTAGGCCAAAACCCCGACCTGCAAGTAATTTACAACCATCAACCTGTGAAATTATCGTATCGTCATATTATTAATTAACGTATTATCATTGTATCGTCAAGATTCAAGAGAATTTAACTGGTTAAAAAACACCAACCTCAGGAAATCGTCTCGCACTCATATTCAGCCAGCAGACCAGCTATCATCAAATTTTGCCGAGACCTTAAATTTGAATTTTTTTTTGAGTTACGAACCATCGGCAGACGTTTCTGGCGTATCCCCACAAACAGGGTGCAGGTGACTTAATAATTAGTAAATTTGCGGGCGACAGTGTCGAGTGAATCCGATGAAATTTTCGGATGAAATTCGGAATGCCCACACCCAGCACACCCGGCCCAGAAAGTCTATTATACCAGCCCATTCCAGACTCCAGTGATGGCGTGGCAGCTTGTTAAAGCCACCGGCCACATACATGATCATCATCGCTCCATGACCGGTCCAATACCCCCCCCCCCCCCATAGGTTTTTTAGGCGAATTGGACAGAATTATTTTTTTCACTTTTTGTCCGACCGGCCCTTCGGGCGGCCCAATCCGCCCCTGCATCTGACTTCTAAAGCGCATAATCTTACAGGGAATTCGTGAGAAACTGAAAATGAGCTATAAAAGGAAACTGGGAAAAAAAACCGACAGTTATACTATATGACCTGCCTTGTTAATTAGCATTCCACGAAAGATCCCGCAAACAACAATGTATTATTAAAATACTTAAAGCACTGTGACAAACAAAAGTCATCTGTGTGATTGATGTCATAGCGCGTGCAAAAATAAACTTAGAGAGCGACTATAATTCGTACTTATATACATATACATACCTCCATTTAATCCAATATCGCAGTCACTCCAAACTCCCGCCAGCAAAACTACACATACAACTAATAGTACTAGGCAACACGTGGACGTCATCTGTAATTACAGGAAAAAGGAAGAGTACCGAGTGTTAATTACTGCGGCAGAAATCAATAAAATGCTGTCAGTTTTATAAGTATTCAAATGGACACAGAACCCCAATAAATTCCCACATCTGGTTAGGTTACCAATAAAATCTTACATCTGTTTACGTTACCAATAAATTCCTACACCTGGTTAAGTTACCAATAATAATACATTCCTACACCTGGTTACGTTACCAATAAATTCCTACATCTGGTCCCGGTTTCACAAAACATTCTCAGACTTAAGAATTTACTCAAAATTGTTCACCTTATTTTAACTAAGATATAGCCCTTTATTAGACGTTTATTGTTTCAGTGTATCAAATACATCAATAAGAAACTATGTGCAACTGTTTGTGTTTCTGGATTAAAGATATTTCTTATAAACAGTGATTGAAAGTTGAGTTAATTCTTAACTTAATTCTGAGAATGCCTTGTGAAACTGGCACCTGGTTACGCATCCATTGTTGGATTGGCTTTTGATACTTGAGCTTTTGAAGGAGTGTGTCTATTCTCCCCGTTTAATTAAATCTATCCCAAGTACAGCAACATGACAGCCCTTGGTTTACTCTGGGGTCTTCCCTAAAACTTTGGACAGTGATTTAATAGACCAGGAGCCCAGAGGGTCAACCTAGCTGAAAAGTATATCCATTTTCACCTATATGGTATCAATGCATGTATAACTGGTATCATCAGAATGTAAGTCTGTCGGGTTTCTGGTGGTGGTCATTCATGATTCCTGTGGTAGTACTGAACAACTCCAAAGCTGTTTTAGGTGGTACAGACTTCAGCTAATCTAGCCTAGCTATGGCCTGGAAATTAGATAACTCTTGTCAGGGATACAAATGTCTGGCAATTACATAGCTCTGTCAGGGGTACCCCACCACTAGAAATGTCTGTCAGAGTGATTTTGTAACACCTGAAGATGTACGGTACACTGCAGTAAGATTTTCGTGTGGTACACTTTTGAGCTAATCTAGCCTAATTGGGGAGCATGGCATTTTGGACGTGGAATACCACACCCACCACCAGACACCCGACAGACTTACATCATGCATTGGTACCATATAGGAGAAAATTGATACACTTTTCAGCTAGGTTACCCCACTGGGCTCCCGCTCTATAAGGTATAATAACGATGAAAGTATTGTTTGTCTCTAAACAGTAATGTTTACATTGTATCCGTGCTGATTGCCTCGTTTGTCACGCAATTAGTTTCTCTGCAATATTCTGCTATGCATTGGTTAATGTTCACGATTTTGACGCGAAGAATAACAAGGTTGCAAGATGGGTGACGTATATATATATTTCAGTTTTAATATACTACTCCCAGTTTGAGTTATTACACGGCTTCTATGAACCTCCTAGTGCATGCTTTTTGGCAAAAGACGTTGCCACATGCAGCCCCATCGCCGGTTCAACCCAATAGCGGAATCAATGATGCAGTCGTCAAATGGTTAATAGTGATCCGGTATATTTGAAATCTCATATCCAGAATACGACTAGACCTAAAATAGCCTTATCGGCAACATTTTTTTTTTTTGCTTACTTTATCCTTTCATAATTGCCTTAATCCCAATTCCATTTTGCCCTGTTAAGAAATTCTTGACTCTGGGATTATTTCCTTGAAGGACATTATCCCACAATCAATAGTTAATAACTTTGGTGTGGATTAATTTTAATTTAATCATATTTGTAAATGTTAACCACTTTACAGCATATGTTAAATTAAAAGATAATAATTATCACTTTACGGGCGAGATTGGCGACAATGGAAGTGTCAAGGTCATTTCGATTGTTTTAAAGCGTTAGATTGTTGTAAACATGTTTATCAAAATTTATTGAATCAGTGAATATAGGTCTAGGTCACGTCTAGGTTTCAATCCCAGTATAGGCCAATAAATTTTCTCGGGGTTTTCTATCGTTCTTGCTCCTTGTCAGTAGTGCTGGTTGGAAAAAGAGCTTCTATACGTTCGGATGGGACGAAGTCCCGTGTACACATTGTCATGCGCATAAAATCAACCCCGACATTTGGAGTAGGACATAAAACCCCATTTTATTCCATTTCAACAATTTAATATTTATGTATCTGTCCAGAATGAAGTTACATGATTGGTGTACGACATAGGACGTTTCGTTTAGACATTTATGGGGGAGGTAGAAAGCCTCGGGGATGTAAAATGATTATTACATTAAATTACACAACGTTATAGCCGTTTTTTGTTTCCTCCATTTTTCTTTTCACGGGAGTATATGTTTGGCGATGGTGGGAGAGGTCTACCCTAAAAAGGTATATATTATTTCGGAGCCAATATATAGTATATTTCCTTTGCTGGTGAAATAGTCCAGAGAACCCAGAAAGCTCAGTGTGATGTGAATGTTCCTGGCCGTGTAGTTACATACATACACAGGCGAGTGGAGTGAGTCAAAATGGCGTTAATGGTTCGCACGTTTGTTTGTTCCAACAAAATGCCCCCTTGGGCAGGGTCCGGATATCAGACATCACCCCCACCTTGGATACGCACCTGCACCACCTCAGAGCAACGTCACGTAATCCACCTCAGAAAATCGTCTTTGATTTCGCTTAACTGTTGCATAAGCACACATGCACTGCCAGGCTCCGTAAATACAATGGGGATAAATTTGTTTAGTAGAAATTGATTAATTTAATCAATTATCAATAGGTCCAACAGTAGAAGGTCCAACAATAAAAACAATAAAACAAACAATGGTACAGAATACAGGCCCGTAACAAAGGGGGGGGGGGCGCAGGGCGGGCGACCCCCCCCCCCCCCCCGCAAATAGTTTCGCCACCCCACCCCCCCCTGTGAAAAAAATTTTCGACCATAAAAAATAGATATACATTGTCCGTTAATATTACAGCACCCCCGAGAACACCCCCCCACCCCCGTTGCTCTGAGCTAGTTACGGCCCTGACAGAATAATACAATAAACATAAATTTGTTAACAAGAAAAAACGGTTATGTCAATGGATTATCATAATAGTACAAGGTCCAACAATAACAAAAACCCAAAACAATGATACACCACATAATTGACATAAATTATATTTAAAGAGACATAAAATTGTATAAAATCATAGGGAGCCACGGTGGCTAGTTGGTTAAGACGCTGGCTCGCTTGCCTGGAGGTCGGGTGTTCGATCCCTGCATTGGCCGAGAAAGTTCATCGAGATTTTCCGACGTGGTTTCCCCTTGTCAGTGGTGCAAAACGGAGGGTCTGACAAGGACAGCTGTCTAGTCCTTTCGGATGAGACGAAAAACCGAGGTTCCGTGTATATATTGGAATGCACGTAAAAGATCCCCTGGCAGTTGGAATTCGATATAAGAGTAGGCGATAGTGCCGCTGTCCGGGCAAAATTTCCCTCATAGCACACTGTATGGCGGATGCCCGTCTTCATTAGCCCAGTATAGGAGCAGAACAGTAGGACGTTAAACCCCATTTCATTTCATTTCTGTATAAAATCATAGAGATCTCTGCCTGTTTGTAAAAAAGACCAAAAAACAAATTCGATTTGCCGTAATATGCATTGAAATTAGATTGATGTAATACATATTCTGGACTTTCTAAATCGAATATACATAAATGTGATTTTATGATTGGTATTCGTACATCTATACTATTCAAAAAAAGTAGGGGATATTTGATTTTTAAGTGTTATTAAAGTCACCAAATGAAACTGACGAAGAAACAAATGACAAAATGAAATGAAGTTCACATTCATCGATTTATTCCAAATGATCGTTAGACTAAGTAAGGCACAGACTGACAATTATAAGGGTAAAATGATACCCGGGGTCAAACAGCAAAGTTACCACAGCATCACAACCAAGTCAGTAACGGGTAAATCCTCCTCTGTTTGCCAAACAAGCATTGATCCGACGTGGCATACTCCTAATGAGACGTCTAAGGTCATTTTGGTCCAGATTGTCCCATTTCTGTTGCAACGCAGCAGCATGTTATTGGACATTGGCAAGACGTTGTTGACGTCTATTAAATTTAATAGTTTTAGCTTTTATTGTCTTGTTTTGATACCTGAACTTATTAAGAAAGGTCAGCGAAAGATAACGAGACAATACAAAACACCATCTTTGAGTATCACACGAGTTCATTATTATTCGGGTATACATATGGAACGGTAAACCGAGGTATATCATTAGTAGCACATTAAAGATGCTGGACAAGATTTCCCTCAATAGCACTGCATGGCGTCTGTCCGCCTTGATGCAGGAAAGCATCCTAAGATGTTCAAAACCATTTCATTTTATTTTTGCAAAATTACTACAGTCTTATATTGTTCGGCATTCAAGTGTCCCCATTGTCCAGTTGCCCTGTGTTGGCCAAGCATTTATTTTTTTATTCAAAATCAGTTGGTATTTAAATCTAAGGAAGGTTATCCCTTTAGCCTATGTTAAAGGGGGCCTCTTTCTATATTGTTACAAAAGATGGGTAATAGCCCCTTCAAACATAACGAAGACCTTGTTACGCACTAACTAAGAGCAAAAATTCTATAGAGCGCAGTGTTGTCGAGGTGAAATGCAGGCAACTACACTCTCAGTCAGTGGCGGCGCCAGTCGCCGGTGGTTGGAGGGGCAAAGCTAGGGCAAAGTCCAAGGTTAAGGAGGCAAAGGTACGAGCTTCAACTACGGGTAGGGGGGCCTCCCCCAGAAATTTTTAGAAAAAACAGGCTGCCGGGAATGCAGCCTGGCAGTATTTCAGGCACTGATCGTTGAGATAAAGTGTCAAACGACCGAACCTCGACGAAGCCCACTCACGAGCGCCAAAGTAGGGAATCATTGTGGAGGGTATGGGGGACCTCCCCCAGAAAATTTTGAAAAATAGACCCCCTCCCCCTGCCCTCTCTTCAAGTCGCCACTACTCTCAGTTCGCGCAAAATCTCAGTCACAATCGTGGTCATGAGGGTATAATGAACACCGTCAGCCGATCATC